TCCAGAAACGTAGCAAGGAGATCGGTAAAATAGTCCATGTGACATCAGTGGTTCAGTCGTAATTTTACAAAGCTACGAGAACACTTTTTGTGTGCAAAGAAAACAATAACATAATTTATTCAACAATTCTTCTCCCCGAGTTACCGTCTTCTGCCATTTTGGAGAGTATCCACTGAACGTAATCAGCGTAATGAGCGTTGTTTACGTTCAGCATGCGCGTGATTATTAATATAGTAATTAATATTAAGAAAAGAACTGGAGGAAAAGATGTTGTTAGGTGATTTTGTTTTGGAACCTTCAGAAAACCTTAACTCGATTTCTCAGAATTGAGTTTGCTCAATCTATCGACTTCAAACAGGTGTAGCTCAGTCATCTGTCGTTAGATTCCAACAAATCATACATCGTTTTGAAGGGCTTTTAATAGAGAATGAAAATAAATTAAATGTAATATCAGGTGCAATTATATTACGCAGTGCCCGAAAATAGTCCCCAGCATGCTCCCTGTGCAAACAGGTGGACACGTTGGTCATGTTGACGGAAGTTAGCCTATTTTCGGGCACTGCGTAATATAATTGCGCCCTACTGCACCCATGGTACGTTAGCAAAGTTCCTTGATTATTACGCCGGAATGAGAGTATAGTTCCTAGCCATATCGGCCTAGAAAATCACAGCTTTTCATTTTCCGTCGGTCTTGGTACACAAGTTTCAGTCAAGTTTTACATAAAACAGTCAAGTTTTAAATAGGAAAGATATAGAAACTCTTTGATGATTTTTGAGCGAGATGCTAACAGTCTAATCAGATTCAATGATCTATGCTAAGCTACAGCTAAAAGTGCTACCGCCAGACCCGGAGATCGGCTGAATGGATTCGAAAATGGTAAAACTCGACAGTTTAACTCTAGGGGAGTTGGAAAATGAGCCTATTTTCAAAAATAGTGGAGTGTTCCTTTAAACTTCTGTAAAACAATATACTGTTACACGTCCCTTTTCTTTCTCAATTGTTTCCCTTCACCTAAGCCATAAGCATCTGTGTTTACAAGGATACTTGCAGAGCACAGTATTTCAGGCACAAATAGACGCAGAAGTGAACAGAAATTTGTGTTCACGTGCGTCGGCGTGGCTCTCACTGTCTCTACACCCGACGCGACAAAATACAATGAACCCATTATAATCAGTAATGCTGTCTGTCTACACTGGATGCGGCATGACAAATCCCCGACAGTAAACTGATGTTCTCTTTATGACATACTGACACAAAGTTCAAATGACTGGCAACGGTCGCTTTGTCGCGTCCGGTGTAGACAGACTTTGGGGCCGTTCACATGTCGCGGGTGGAAAACGCCAGGCGCGCCACTTTCTCCTTCTTTCCAAAGCGCTCGGGACCTTGCGCTTTCATGGCGTCTGCCATTGCTAAGCAACCGTGACCTGCGCTCTCTTCGACGACGTAGAAGTTTCAACAAAGGATAAATGGATTTCCAGAACTGAAAATCCCTTGCAATAGCTCTGCTACTAAATGTATTTAAAATGGGTAAATGTAAATGTCTCTGTACAGCTGTTGCGTCCGGTGTAGACAGTGTCTGTGTGTGAGCAAGGAAAACAATCAGCATAAATATAA